ATTGAATTGAATTAAATTGAAATGGACACTTGGGGTAGCCCAAAAGACACTGTGGTGGAAAAAAGAAGGATCCATTTAGGAAACCACCTAAGATCAGAACCACTGACTGCCAGCCTGTCAGTATGTTGTGACATGAGTGTCAGTGCTGTGACGATAGTGTGATGTCTCTGATCTTTCAGTGGATGAATAATATTCACCTCCACATCTGCTGAAGAGCCCCTGAGCAGGGCACTGAACCACCAACGATTGAACCTGGATAATTAAAGGTAAAAACTGTCCTCTCCTGCTTTCCTCTTTGTGACTAAAACAATACATTTTTGTCCAAGCCCCCTTTTTCCTTAAGCATAATGAGATAACCCAGCCCTGTAATTGGCTAAATTATTAGTCATTAGTTCCATCATATGCTAATTAGCTCATATGTAAATTGCAGGGCCCAGATGAATCCCAGTGCCCGTCTCTGTTTAATTAGTCTGTAATTCCTCTGCATCCTGTGGAACACGGGGAAGTTGGCAGGCCAAAAGTGTGTCTGTTGCAACAGAGGGAGGGACAGGGGACTAATTAGAAATATCTCACATGAAGCATTTCTACATTAATTACAACACTTCCTGTGTCCCAATACTTTTTTCCTTCCTTCTCCCCACAACTGGGCTGCGTCAGAGGAGGACATCACAAACCAACAAGGAGCCTGACTGCTGCTTAATCAAAGATCTCACTACTTATTTGCATTTCTAATTGGAATTAATGTAGTGATGTGCAAGAGTAGGTGTGTGTGTGAGTGTGTGATCTGTGATCAGAGATGTTCTTGCTTTGGTGGATTTCTTCATTTGTCTGATGTCATTATCAACAGCACGTGGGCAGCAGGAACAAGACATCTGTGATGAGTCAGCTGTCTTTAACTGATGGGCAGTGGTGACCTAAAGGTAAAAGAGAAGCAGAGCTTGTTCAGATGGACCTGCTCAGTGGCAGCAGATCAGACTGTGGTTGCACTGGGCAGCTTCCAGGTGTGAATACATGAATGTGATCAGAGCACGACTCTCATAGGCCTTTTCCACCAGCAAGGAATTGGCTCCATTTTGGTTCGCACACCTAGTATTTCAACCAAATATCAATTGGTTCAGAACCCGAAAAGTAGGCAGGTTTTCCCTGTGAACCAAAGTGTGTGGGTCATATTCTATAGGTCACTGTGCATTATGCAGGCTGTTTGATAGAGAGCACCAGTTCCAAGAATCTTGAACAGGACCAGTTCAAGAACCAGAGCTAATTTTGTTGAAAAAACACCATCAGTGAATCTAGTGAAATATTCATGTGGTGGCAGAAATATATGCAGATTTAATCACAATCACATGTATCAATATTTAGGTCTTTACCTCCACTGTTCAAAACCCAATTAATATTAATTCAATTATAATAATTTCTCATTCATTCAAACTATATTCGAACAGGATGAAGGATTTTAGTCAACTAATTTCCAATGAGAAAAACTGAGATTTACAGCAGCCTCTATCTGAACCCTGCTTGACTTCCTGAAGAATGTTGACTGCAGTATGAAAGGATTCCTGGAAGAGTACTAATTACACTGTAGCAGCTATCAGAAAGGTTTGAAGCCAGTACTTGTTTTGTCTGAAATGTTCAAGACTAACAGTGAATGTTCGTGTAAATACACGCTGAGCAGCGCTGGCAGCAGACACACATGGAATATGTAGCACATGACCTTGGTTCAGGCTGTGTCTAATTCAGTCTGCTGCAGTTTTGAGGGCAGCACCACAGGCGACGCTGCACAGCCCACTCCCACCCAGCACCCCCACCCACACATGACCCCAGGCTATGAGTCTGACAGCCAGCAATTAGAACTTCACCAGTAACTACCCCAGACCCTCATTACCAGTTAATTAAATCAAATCTATCAGGAATTATCTGCTTAAACCTGGGAGGAATACCTTCAAGAAAGCTTTCAAAAACGTGAGGGTGAGCAGAGACGGAGCTTTTGTTTTGAAACGAGTCCTTTCTCCTTCATGTATGAATTTGGGAGTTGATTGTTTGACCTGTGAACGAAGCTCACGTATTGATTCCAAACACTTCTGTTCCTGGTCAATGATTGAGTGTTTTTTGAAGTTTCTTCATATATCACACGCTGAAAACACTCACTATGCATAAAAATAAAATATTCTGGAGACACTGATTTCCACTCAGAAGCAAAAAAAGCCAAAAGCATTTTTCACAAACAAATGTAGTTTTTATTCCAAAAAGCAGCATGTATGAGCTCAAGCCTTTACACATTCTATTTAAACAACAGGAACAAGTTTAAAATCCTCCATAATTTAAACATTCATTTCACAAAAATAACATCCATTTATTTATTTATTTATTCTCAAACAGGTAACAAAAAGCTACAAAATGACTGGAGATCTATGCACAGAAATAAAAACATAGAAAAGTCAATGTGGCTGGACTGTACACAGGAGATCCTCCTCCTCCTCTTCTTCTCGTCATCGTTGCTTCACCATCAAGTGAACTTATACGTGTGACTGTTAAGGAAACTGACTTTTGCCCACAGCAAATACCACTCACCACTCAGTAACAACACAACTAATGCAGAATGAAGGGTACTTCTGGTCGAATAATGAAACCTGCAAAAGAGAAGGTACCTAATGCTTTGGTTAAAAAATGCTGCCCAATTAACATAGAAGAAGATGAACTAAGACAAATCATTTGAACTGCATTGGAAGAGCTCTCTTATAATCTAGTGTGGAGACGAACCATTGTGAAGAAGAGGAAGTGCCTTCAATGATGTTTATTTTAACAGATACAAACAGGATAATTCAGACAAATGTATTATTTACATTCTTTTGGACCCCAAAAAAATAATAGTTAAATGATTAAAACATCTATTTAGTCGATGTCCCCACAGTGCAGGGAAGAATACTGTTCTACTCTTCCAATTTTGAATTTGTTTTCCAGTCCAGAAAAGTGTCAGTGTCAGTGACCTGACTGAACCACAACGGTACAACTGGGCTCTATTCTGGGAACCTGTTTTTCTTTTGATGAGTATGCAATTTATTTTAAAAATGACTGGTGATTTCTTATATTCTTATTGAACTGTTGCTCAGAGTTATCTTCATCTCTTTCTGTCCTTTCAGTTTCAGTTTGGTTGAACCATTGTACAGTGTTTTGTTCTTGTACAAAATAATATCGATTTATAAAGAGGACTTTCTACAACCTAAAAGTAGTTCTCTGAGCTATCTGACTGTACTGAATGAAGCTTTTGTGGCAGGCAGTGTGCATACATACATACATACACACATACATGTTAGAGTTAAGAGTCAGAGATGATGCAGTTGGTGTCCTATAAGAAACATTCTATCACTGGCTGTGAAGGATATGAGTCGTAGTTGAGCTTCTGGGTTAAAACCCCGGTCAGGATGAACTCAGCGTTGTGAACATCTGGACAACAGACAAACAAAAACACATCAGCACAAGTTCTGATGGAACATTGTGGTTGTTCTGGTGCAGATGATCACTTTGTATTATCTATTTAAAGGTAGCCTGTGCAGTTTTTGACCAGTGGTAGTGCTGTGGAGCTGAGTCTTTACAAGGGCTCCCTGTTTTGTTTGTATTGTGCATGCGCACAATGACACACATGCAGGTGTGTGACTCACATCCTGCCACTGGCTTCACAGTATCCCACTGATATCAGTTGGTGGCACCAAGTAGTATTTCTACATTTCAGAGAGGAGGAAGACCGCCAGCTGATAAACATGGAAGGGAACAATGAAGAATTTAAAGGGTTCTTTAAAAATGCCTCTTCAAACAGAGACAGTGGTTGAGAGATATAGACAATGAAGGTGAGAGAGAGAGCTGGTAGGAGAGAAAGCCGGTAAAACGTTATTAAACGTTTGTTTCACTGTGTACAGTGAGAGCTGCGCAGTGACAGTGTGTCACAGTACACACACTGAGCCGCTGAATGAGTGAGAGGGAAAACAGCTGTAGAGACAGCGTATTTTTACATTTAACTGCAGTGAATAAAGAGTTTATTTACACTAGTTTGACGATAAGGAATACAGTTACAAGGTGATTCACAGAGACTCTAAACAAGACTCTGGGGAAGACGAGGACACAGCCGACACAGCCCGGGAGAGGAGAGACAGACCAGGAGAGAGGAGAGGCATGATGTGGTTAGAGGAGTGAAAAAAAAAAGAAAGGAAAATACACATATCAAACATATCGTCCAACTCTAGTGTGTGTGTGTGTGTGTGTGTGTGTGTGTGTGTGTGTGTATCTTACCAATGTTCTTCAAGAAGTATTCTCTACAGAGATGGAGGTCATTGTCGCAGGAAATTAAAATGATCTCTGGAAGGTTCTGCAACACAAGACCAAAATGTATTTAGAACTTATAGATACAAATAAATTGTTAATTCTTACTGAATTTGTTTTATTTTTCAGCACCTACCACCAGCTGTGAGAACTTTGGATAAAAATGTATTTGTGGACATAACCATTTAACAGCTATTATACCAACCTAATTGTGCTACATATCTAGAACATAGAAACTTTTTTATGGACATTATTTATTTTATTTATTTATTGTGATTATTTTCACAGACCTTGTTCTGTTTATGCTCCATGATCTTTCTGTAGGAGGGCTGTTTGGCCAGCAGCTTTCCTCCGGCGCTCTCCAGAATGGACTTCATGGTGCTGAGGCTGGGGCAGATCCCTGGGGTGAGATAAAAGTACTTCCCCTACATTGCAGAGGCAAAGTGACAGACAGTGAGGGACAGGTAACCAGAAGAATGGGGACAAAATATTCACTACTGTGTGAGGTCTTTCCAGTATGTAAACCAGTGGTCTGTGAAAATGACCTTGAAGAGTGGTGCACTGTGGGCTCTCTTTAATGACTCCTCAAGACTGAAGCCAAACAACACCTCGGCCTCTGCATCCCTCAGAGTGTAACTCTGCTCATCTGCAACACACACAAACACATACACACATTAGACAAAGGCTATGTTCGCAAGTACAAGTGGTCCAAATCAGATTTTTTTGTGACTTGGGCCACTTTCATAAGTGGCACTACAACTGCTTTACAAAAAACAACTGGAACTGGAATAAGTGTATCCACTTAATGTTTTTCCAGACAGAAGAATTCTGGCAGTGCGTTGGGGAGAGCTGGGATGACGTGCTTTTGTGGTAGAAGTAATAAGAAAATGTGAGTTTTGTTTCAATGGAGTTGTGCCTCTATGCAATAAAACCTCTGTAATCCTTCTGCCTTGTCGCTGTCTGGAGGGAGTCTTTCTCTCCAGTGACTGCTGGACTGAAGCACCCGCATTACCTGAATGAACCGTCTGTATTCTGCTGAGTGTTTATTTCTGTCATCTACATCTTTTGTGCGGATTACATTAATTAATTACTCTTACTGGCTTTTTGTTCGGGGGGTTTTAGTACACTTGCAATAGGGTGTTGAGTCTGGCTGTATCGGATCTCTACTACTCTCTCCCTCACTGCGGTCCGCCTCTCCACTGTGCAGTGAGAGAGAGTTGACGATGGCCGCGTCGGAAAGCTTCATGAGTAAGTTTGAATAAAAGATCGGATTGGATCAATAAAGCTCAATAAAGGCGATACTGATAAGTTAAAAAAAATGCCTTAATTGGCACCAATACCCATCTTTGACACTGAATCGAGACAACCCTAGTCTGTACTTTTGTCTGCTTTCACTATGGCGGCAGTGCAAGCGGAGGGATTCTCCACAGAATGTAAAGATCTCCAAACTGGAGCTCTGGCAGGGATTTTGCCTTTTAGTGAAATACTGTGCCCAACATTTGCTTGTTAACATATCTTTTTCTTCTTTTGAGAGGTGATATAAATATGCATGGCTTGAAATTAATGGATAATTCACATGCCTCTTCTGCAGTTCTATGGAGTTTTTTAGTGCAAGTCGCTACATTGGAATGCTATTTTGCCCTCCAGGACTCCGTCAGGTGACTGAAAATTATGAAAATTTTTTTTGTCATCAGCTCCCTTTACTTCACCCAGTTCAGTCTCCACTGTGGACAGCTGACCTCAATGTGTGTGTGTGAGAGCCCTCAGCCAAACAAGCAAAGGAGAGGGACAGAGAAGCTAGTGCAACCATAAATGACAGCAAAATGTGGTCAAGAGCTCACAGTTTAATTTTTTTCCCCTTTTCATTTGTTTATTTTCTGCTTCTGTTATGACAGTTTATGTCTGACATATCATAAAGCTGAGGAGGAGCGACAGTGACGACACCAGTGTTTTTTTCTAAATGTTCAGAGATTTTCAACTAGAAGCGCTTGGAGTGTCTGCACAAAAAGGCAAAGAGCTCTGGGTGCAGCACTTTTTCTCTCTCTAACAGCATATGGTCTCTCCTCTTTGGGAGTAAGTGAACAAAAAAGACAATAGTGTTTAAATAATAAGGCTATGTGGACACAGGCCCTAAACGGAACAACAAGATGCAAGAGGAAGACTCAGAAGGAAAAAAGGAGAATTAAAGCAAAGATTACCTATTATTATTTGTTGTAAACAGAGGTTTCATGCAGTTTTAACCCAGATATAAAACACAGACACACACGTACCCACAAACTTCTGGCTCCTCCAGCTCTCCTCCAGCCACTCTGGGCTGATAATGTGTTTGACCACAGACATGGCAGTGAGGAATTTGACGGTGCGAGTCACCTTGCTGGCAACCAGGTGAGTGACTTTCTGACTGCTGTCTGCTACTTCACCACCTAAAGCATGTAGCCTCTGTGGGAGTGAGATGGAGACAGACACCATCAAACACTGACAACAGTTAGCAGCAGGAGACAGTGGAGTGGCTCATGTTGAGATCTAATGACCTCATTCAAGTATTGAGATACCTTACCTTTGTGTACTGTTGCACTTGTGTGGGCTCAAAGCCTGTGAACAAGACTCGAGGAGTGGACTCTGGAGGAAGCTTCTTACTGGGGGACTGGATCTCCTCCAGTCTGCACACACATCATTTATACATTATTACATGGTAATCTGGACAGTCAATGTCTGGTCCAACTCTGCTGTTTCAAGTACCCAGTACCTTGTACCCAGATCTACTCACCTGGCCTTCTTGTTTGCAGGCTGATTGGTGGAATCAGTCATTTTCTGCTTCTGGAGCAGCTGGAGACTCTTAACACCACACAACATTACGGAGACACGGTCAGATGAGCCAGCACAGTACAAACAGAAAAGTCAAGCAGCCTATTCAGACACTGTAAATGTGGGGACAACCATGGAGCCCACCCACGCTTTCAAAGAAAGCAAATAAAAAAAAATTACACGATGAGATTACATACAGTCAATGCAAAGATGCAATTAGACACAAATCTATCTATAAAAATAGAATAGAAAAATAAAGAGATATGGCGGGGCTTTTGTAGTGTTGTTTGGGGAGGACCGGAGAGACAGAGATGCTGCTGGCCCAAAGACAGCTGCCCAGGGAGCTCTGCAGAAGAGAGCTTAGAGCTAGCTGGCCATGACCCTTGGAGATACAATTGGTTCCAACAAAGAGAGATTTCTCTTTATTGGGAATAGGACGATATACGATATTATTATTGCAATAAGAAGCCATTTACAATGGTGAATTTACATTATGACAATCGTGTATCAGGATGATCGAAATCTGAATATCCTCACATGGCTTGATTTGAAAAAGCTGTCTGGCCCTCCAGCATACAGTCCTATATTAATTTCCTGATTTATTTGGAAGAAGATGACAAGGGGGATCCACATCTTTCTATTTATTCCAAAATTCTAATCCTCGCTTGGTTGCCCACAAAAAACAAACAAAACTTAAACTGGATGTGTAGAAATATGCCTTGGGGCCCATTTTTGACACTCCAAATAGAGGACGTGTATGTGAAGCACACTGTGGCATTCATCTCATGAAAAGAACACATCAACAGACTCACCGCCAACCCTTCAGGAGATACCTTGATCGGCGTTCTCCAGGCAGCTACAGAAAAAAACAGAAGCCAACGCAGGACAGTTTCATATACATATACATATATACACACACTCTGCAAAAAGCAGTGATGTGATGTTCAAATATTCTTTAGATATAATATTAAGCTTAGGGCCGTTTTCTATACACTAATACTCATACTCCTGTCATTTAGAAATACACAGACATGTATGTTCATACCATATAATAGTTTTGAGGAGGCATTAATCCACAAAACGCTGTACACTCTTTAGCTGTCTTTATTCTTTATACTAAAACGCAATGTCCAATATAAACTGTCTGTCTGTTTGAATCATGGTGTATTCAGCTGTACATACCCAGCAGGTTCTGGACCAGCTGTGGGTTAGGCACAAGTGGTTCAGGCTGTGTGTAGATGGAGTATCTGCTGTGCTGGATCTGTCTCAGTGCTTCAAAGTTGCCCAGCAGTATGTCACACAGCCACTGGGCATTCACACATGGGATCTTCCACTCCTTGGCTTTCTCATATTTAAGCCCACTTGGTCTAAAGAGAAATCAGCAAGACAACTATATCACCAACACTGTACCTGGTCCAACACAGACCAATATGGCTGGATGGCAGAAAACATTCAGAACTGACAGTGCAAATCCTAATATGTGATACACAAACAGAATTAATTTAGTTCTTTTTAGAAGTACTTCATCACTGCATGTGAGGTTCTACACTTAATAAACAGCACTACAGCACTAACTATTCTCGGTGCTCTATGTAATGAGAGCAAACATGTCCTTGTGGTGTTAGAAATTTCTTTCTACTTCTGCTATTGTTGTGTGGATGCAGTCTGACTGTAATCCTGACAGCAGGTAGGTTTTCCAGCAATGTTGTGTTTTTGGGGATGACAATCTTACTCTTTACAGATGAGGACAGTGTTACTGCGACACAGGTATCCGGTGTATCTGGCACCTGCCAGGTAGGCCATCAACTTCAGGTCATCCCTGTCAGCATCCACAAAACCTGTCACTGATATAATCTGAGACGAAAGATGGTGACAGAGAAAGGGTTAGAAACTAATAAAAACAACTGGTGCAGTCTGCATTCCTGTACTTTGATATACGATAAGGTAAGATGTTCCTTTATTGATCACCTGTAGGAGAAATTCAAGTCAGACACAGCTGCATAAGAGAATGTAGTGAAACTGCATGTGCCTATGCCTATGCTATGTGCTAGGCTAATATATGTTGAAAAGGCAACCACCCTTTGAAGATGAATAAATGATATATATATATATATATACATATATACATATACATACATATACATATACATATATATATATATATATATATATACATATATACATACATATACATATACATATATATATATATATATATAC